TACGTACGTACGTACGTACGTACGTACGTACATACACACATCATCAAAAAAATTGGCTAGCATGCTACTAATATGTTAAAACGTGGAAATATAATGAAAATTCCGATTTCACTTTTCGACCCAATTACAATAACTTCCTAATGGGAAGTTAAAATGGGAAGTTAATTATAACGTTTGTTATAAAAAGTAAATAATGTTAGGTAGGTATAAGGGTTTTTGCGATCAGATTTGAAATTTTATTTTATAGCTATTCAATTCTTAGGACTATCTCTTCAGTTTAGGCTGTTTGCCGAAGGAAAACTGTAGTCTCAGTCTTTTAAACTTTGAATCAATTTTTATGTTTACCGTCGACTTGATATCCCATTGGATATTTACGCCGCAAGCTAGTTCAAAAGCAAGAAAAATAATAATACAAGGAATTGGAAAACCAATCATTTTTTACCCTGCTCGAGGCTTAAACGGTTTGAAAATTTGCATAAAAAACCTTACACGTTCCATGGTACATCGAAGAAATTCAAGAAATGTATCCAGATACATATAATTGGTTTATGGCTTTCCTAAACCTCGTCAAAATTGACCTTTTTCACGTACTTTCGTTTCTTTCTATAAGGAAATGTCGTAGCAAAGAATTACTTACTACAAAAGATTTTCAGAGCATTGCGTTAATGGTTACTAATGGAGCACTTCGGTAAAAAAAATTAGTTTACCAGTCTGGTTATAATACCGGCTTTCAACGTAAAAAAGCTTCCTTTCATAAATCAAGTTACATTAGAATACACCGAATTCTCAGATATACCATTTATCACAATTTGTTAGGTCTTTCTCTTATTTCAGACTAAATTTTGTTCGGGACGATGGCTACACACACACAAATCTTCACGAACGAGTTCCATGAAAAATTAAAGAGTCGCGTAGAAAAAAATACGTTCAACATTTTTGCGGTTTCTTAAAAGATTCTATGTAGTGTTTTCTTCTTTAAACTGAACAACTTCTTTTTGTATAAATATGCATCATCATCATCATAAGGTGGTAAGTTCTAAGACTGGTTGGACACGTACTTCCACTCTTTCCTATCCTGAGCTAATCTTCGCATTTCCCTTAAAACTAGAACATCCCACAACCTTAACTATTTGCGAACAGTCTATCTAACCTAGGCCTACATCTACCCCTCCTAACTACTGTTTCTGCCTCTAATACGTCTCTGACTAGACCTTCGTGCCTGAGAAGGTGTCCTACCTTACTGACTTCCATAGAGTCCTCTGTTCTCCTATTCTTTCTAATACCTCTTCATTTATAACCTTCTCTATCCACGGTATNGTTAATTTTTGAGCATCCTACAATTGTAAATACAATGTTAAAATATTTTGGGATTTATGTACGAGAATTTTGCAGTTGTAATTCCTTAGTTTACATTTTCTAAATTAAATTCAATTTAAATTATGTATTGATGCAAACCCTTAAGGAAAGAGATAATTTTTGAAGACTATCTTGTTTTTTTCTGCTTAGTTTTCGTAAAAAGCGAAAATAATATACGGCGATAGGGAAATTTTACAGATTTACTGACTGAGGCACCACTTGTCTCAACATTTGAGCAATACATATACATAAATTTTATACACTTTGCATTCCTTTGTCGACCCTTTTGTTTGGAATTGGAACCCTTAAACAATAGACAGTACGGGAGTCGTACGTACACTACTAGAACACAATCCATTTCAAAATTATCACGACTAACTTCACCCTACTTGAAATTGCTACAACAAAACAGTTTCCATAATATTTCCGGATAAAGGGTTTCCACAGATGTCATTCTGTATTGTTTCGAGGTGAGTTTGGGTTCTGGGAGAAACAGGAAATTTAACATTACAAAACGAAATAAACATGCAAAAAGGTAATGAAATCAAAATTAATGGTGGTTTCAAGTGAATAGTTTCTATGTATTGCCACAACTTCTGGAAACGCTATTAATTTTAAATATCTTTTGGATTAAAAGTTAGGGGGGTGGAGTATCTGATAGCATATGAAAAAGTATGTGCTTCTATCACAAAATCTGCATTAAATGTGTTCTTCAAAACTGCATATCTTCGGTCCTACTCCAAACGTGGTTATTTGTTGTTTAGATCAATTGATGCAACAAAGAATGCTTTTTTTATCAGACAAATAGTATTGATGAACTGATTTTTACTATAGAAGAAATGATCAATGACTAGGAACACCTTTCTTTATTTCGTTTTATCTATCTAAATTATGGGATTTGTTTTAAGAAAATTTATCTACGTAACATCTGAACTGGTAGCTGCCTTATATGAAGTCGGACTCGAAATCTGAAGGCACCACTTAATTCTGCGTAATTTTTTACATAATCATCCTCTTTTATAGTTTAGTAGGGTAGTTTTAACTAATCGTAATTTAAAGTGCGCTTTTCTATGTCGACACCTTTTTCCTAATTTTAACCATAAATAACTCAGTAGCGGCCTTATATGAAGTCGGACTCGAAATCTGAAGGCACCACTTAATTCTGCGTAATTTTTTACATAATCATCCCCTTTTATAGTTTAGTAGGGTAGTTTTAACTAATCGTAATTTAAAGTGCGCTTTTCTATGTTTACACCGTATTATTATTGTGTATTAGATATTAACTAACTTTTATTAAGAAATCAGTTCGGTGCTTTCGTTTGTAATAGACACTGTGATATATTTAATGACGTNGTAGAGGGTTGTGGCTAAAAATATAACATTTCAACATCTGAATCTAACTACAGTCTTTTTTTATCATTCGATATTGTTTTTAGCTTTCCTCAAATAAATGTTTTATAAATTTACGAACTAAAGAGGTATATTTGCAATCTGCGAACCAGGAAAATACAATCTTTTTTGATAAATTAAACTACTAAAAAATGGACTGTGTTATACCTGGACCAGGTATACCTGGATGCTGTATCTCTATTAAAAAATTGTGAAACGATCTATATGTATGATTTAGTAACCAAATTCAAAATATTTCACCAAGAGACGACGGAAATTACGATCATTACAACATCGTCATCACACTTATTACATTTACGTAGGTTTAATATCTTACTAATGAACACAACCTATTTGTGTCTTAATAAACGACTTTTAACTACGAATAAGAGAGATATAAAACCAGCCTTCAGTATAATCCTGACATAACAGCTACATAAAGTTAAAAAGCATATTCACGATGTAAAATATTAGACGACATTTTTTTGAATACAAGAACCCGCCACATCCATTTATTAATCCGCATCATAAGATATAAAAAACAGAAACAAAAGAAGAAAAGAATAGAGAAATAACGTCGGAGAGCACACTCTTTAACAAATGGCTGAAGAGACACAACAAAAGGAAAATAGCTCTCTCGCAATGACTATAATAAACGTATACTTCCGACTGTTGGGTTGTGGCAAATGATTATGAATTGCACAAAATAGTTTCAAAAACATTAGAGCCGTTTTCCCGTGGAAACGGGAACGCGTTGGTGGCATTCCTAACACTGGACTGCTTCTACCATGATGCATTGTCACCACGTCCGAAAGCCATGGGCCATAACTTAAAACTGTCAGATGACCCTATCGCCACTAGTTACTTTTAACAAACTTTAACTAAGTCGTTTTTTTTTTATAAATAATTAATGTAACATACAATCTGTTTAAATAAATAAAAATTGTAAATTTTAAATAACAGACAAACTTTCCGGCAATACACTTGCTATAATTATATAAACTAATTTAATCATAAGAAAGGACCCGTGAAATTATAAGGAGATAAAGGATGTTTACTAAGTCTTGAGGAATGATATTATATAAAAAAGTACGTAGAATCTCATGGTGTCAACAGTTTTCGAGTGCGACGTCGAATAGGTAATTTCCGGCATTATTCCTACAATAATTGTATGAATGAATTTAATCATAAAAAAGCGCTCGTTAAATTATTAGCAGATTTTAGGTATTTACTCTGTCTCTCATCTCTCTATCACTAGTTTTAATGTTGATAGAAACATGTATTAGTGATTACGCAAATTTTGTTCATATACTCTTTGCTATCTGCGTAAAAGTTAATTAACTAATTATCTAAGTACAAAATTATCATCCTTGCATGGGCTTGGCTGCCTATTATTGTATATTCGTCCTTACTCGTGAAATAATGAAGAGCGCAGGTTCAATATTTACAATACATTTATCAAAATCAATTATATCTATCCGTGTTATTGATAAAGCCCATCGTCAACAGATTTTTCTAGAATTACGGTATACAATTGTATTTGTTTTTGTTACAGCCAATTGTATTTAAAATAAACTAATTAAAAACGTTTTTAAGAATTACAAACATTATGTGGGATCATTTGTATATTATTTATTACTCATCGATCAGATAATGTTTTACCTTTTTATTGCTGTTTGAAGCAATTGGTAATCCGTAATGTGACGTTATATCGAATAGATAATTTTCTTTGTTCATGTCTTCGCGTCAGTATGTCACGGAGTTGTACCTTAGTAACGTTATTTTGTGCGATTCTATCTAAAGATTACGATAAATACCCTTTTATTCTTATAGAAAAGGACATTATTAAGTTAAATGTGCATTACATGTGTAATTATGTATCAGGTGATGTTAATAAAATTGTCAAATGCTTTTATAAAATGCCTGAAATGGATCCAGTAATTTGTGGAAAATTTTCAATATACGAGGTAAGCGTTTATTATAAAAAAAGACTTTTTTCGATCTCGTACTCTTTTGATAACCAAATAATTATTATAATTAAAAAATTTTAATGATACAAATAACAAGGGCTGCAACAGGGGTAGATATATTAAAAGGTTTTTGAAACTCGACAAATGATGTAAATACCTAAGCGTAGTGAAGATATTACATCAAATTTCCTTTATTCTAACGCTGCCAATTAGCAATTGATGACAATTCATAGCTTTAGGTAATTAATTAGGAGCTTTTGAGATAATATTTATATTCCTTCGGGATAGGGCAAGCTGAACTTTTCTTTGTTTAATAAGTACAAATTAACGTATGTGGGAATCGGAATTTACTTGATGAAAATTGATATTAACGAATATTTACGCCGCAAGCTAGTTCAAAAGCAAGAAAAATAATAATACAAGGAATTGGAAAACCAATCATTTTTTACCCTGCTCGAGGCTTAAACGGTTTGAAAATTTGCATAAAAAACCTTACACGTTCCATGGTACATCGAAGAAATTCAAGAAATGTATCCAGATACATATAATTGGTTTATGGCTTTCCTAAACCTCGTCAAAATTGACCTTTTTCACGTACTTTCGTTTCTTTCTATAAGGAAATGTCGTAGCAAAGAATTACTTACTACAAAAGATTTTCAGAGCATTGCGTTAATGGTTACTAATGGAGCACTTCGGTAAAAAAAATTAGTTTACCAGTCTGGTTATAATACCGGCTTTCAACGTAAAAAAGCTTCCTTTCATAAATCAAGTTACATTAGAATACACCGAATTCTCAGATATACCATTTATCACAATTTGTTAGGTCTTTCTCTTATTTCAGACTAAATTTTGTTCGGGACGATGGCTACACACACACAAATCTTCACGAACGAGTTCCATGAAAAATTAAAGAGTCGCGTAGAAAAAAATACGTTCAACATTTTTGCGGTTTTTTAAAAGATTCTATGTAGTGTTTTCTTCTTTAAACTGAACAACTTCTTTTTGTATAAATATGCATCATCATCATCATAAGGTGGTAAGTTCTAAGACTGGTTGGACACGTACTTCCACTCTTTCCTATCCTGAGCTAATCTTCGCATTTCCCTTAAAACTAGAACATCCCACAACCTTAACTATTTGCGAACAGTCTATCTAACCTAGGCCTACATCTACCCCTCCTAACTACTGTTTCTGCCTCTAATACGTCTCTGACTAGACCTTCGTGCCTGAGAAGGTGTCCTACCTTACTGACTTCCATAGAGTCCTCTGTTCTCCTATTCTTTCTAATACCTCTTCATTTATAACCTTCTCTATCCACGGTATCCTCATCATTTGCTGGTAACACCACATTTTGAACACTTCTAACCTTTTCTTTGTTTCGCACCCGTATAGCGCCTTGCTCTAAACATACACCTTTAACAATCTTTTTCGAATTTCTAAGTTAATCGTTCGCGAGCATAGAAGTGACTTCTTTTTATTGAAGGCGACTCGACCCTGCTTTATATCTCTACTACTTCTTCCGTCCTAACTTATCTGACTTCCCAGATATTTAAAATCAGTCACGTCTTCTGATTTTTAGTCTCCTATCTTTATATCCGCTTTTTCCTTACTTTTTTCCCTTGCATACTGGTGTTTTTGTTTTACTTTAAATATGCATACAAATTATACATGAGAAAGCTCCTAAATTAATTACTTGTGTTTGCAGTACCTTTAAGGGTAGAGGGTTGTGGCTAAAAATATAACGGAAAGAGTGGANATATATATATATATTGTGAAAATATACATTTTCGTGTTTTATTTATACAAATATTTATACAGTAAGGACTAAAAAAATTGTGAATGGAATAATTGGACGAACTAAAGATTTACACATACAATTACAAGATTTGTATTATTCATATTGTAACAGATATTTCCTTTCCTTTTGCAGAATAGCTCAAAGTTAAAATGGGTTATGCCGTGTATAAAACGCTGTAATGTAAGTCCATTTTTATTTTGCCTATGAACCAGTTTTTCGTTAAGATTTTACTTTCAGATTTGTCGTGAATATTTTCTTTGAATTTAATTTAAGGGAGTTTTTATATTTGGTCTTTTTGATAAGGTAGAAACTACAACATTATGAATATAAGAAAAATCACTAAATTCGGTGGCTTTTTTGGTGGTCCCGTAAATTTAAATTATAAGAAAATTTATTCTAGGCATTAAGATCTACTCTTTTCGAATGCCAAAACTAATATTAAAATTAATTTTAAAGAAGTTTAAGAAAATTGACTTGTATTTTCAGAAAATCAAGGAAAATTCATCGGTTTTCCAGTTCGACTTGCCGATAAAATCATAAATAATAATAGAACAACACTGCATAAGTTAAAAAGCGTAGTGGTCGACCTCTCCAACAATTAAAAAAGCATGATGGCCGACAACAGCAACAATTGGAAAGCATAATGGCCGACAACCGCAACAATTAAAAAGCATAATGGCCGACTACTGCAACAATTAAAAGCATGATGGCCGACAACCGCAATAATAATGGCTATTAGGATTTTAATCGTATTAATTTTACTTACCTTTTTTCAGATATACATACCTACCTACTTATCCTCACATTGGACAGCTGAACTTTTTTACTAAAAGGAATGTTGTTGAAATTGGGCTGCAGGTCAGGAATTAAATGGTGAGTATATAATTATTGCACACTAAACCTTCTAGGAAAACTTTAATTGCAGGCAATTTTTTTAAAGTAAAAATAAGGTACTTCTAAAATATTATAATGCAATTACATAGTTTCTTAATTTCATTCGTTTAAAGTATAAAAAAATCTCTTTCTTTTCCGTTTGATCGAATTATATTATACCACAGGAATGCGATAAGCCTGCAAGACAACATTATCGTGAATTTATATACGTAGCTATATTTTTATAATAGTTTAGACTATTTTTGTTTTGTCGTTAATCCTGTTCTTTTTATTTAACCGTGCATTTGCGTTGTCAAAGTATGAAATTCGAAGAAATTTAAAATCTTTGTCATAATGTGCAGTTTAAAATCCCTAAATCAGTTGAGTTGGTTGACGATAATAAGTAAAGTTTATTTAGAATTTACGTAGTAAATCTTCAGATTTGATTCCGTATAGATTAAACCTTATAAAACATATTAATTTGCTAAAAATGATCAAATTGTAAACACAGTAAAATACATTATTTTGTGTATTTTNCTTTTCTTGCCTGTTTCTATATAGATTATTATCCCACAAATGAGAAGTTAATTTTGGTGCTACTAAAATAACTGATGCTTTTGACGTCTTCACCTTGCAACATTATGCAGTTAATTTTTGCCGTAACAATGGGAGGCAATGGGAAATTAATTAATTTGGATGCAACCAGAACAACAAACTATCTGCAGTAGTATTCCTCCTAGATTTGTTTAATTTGCTCATCACACTGGTAGACTTTAGAACGTCACTTTCTACAATTAATTAAGGTGAGAATACATGACTTGATCTTACTTATTAATTACTCTTTATTAATCTTTTATGAAATTTCTGTTAACAATTAGCTATTGTCAACAGTATAAATTGAGGTTAATTTGGATTTATATTTTACAGTTTTTCCACAGAAGAAAATGTCAATTATCATTGATCTATGTTGTTTCTTTTTAACCTTTTTCAAATCTATGCATCTTAAATTGACGTCGTGATATTTGACACTTACCTATGTCATGATCTATGGTTGCAATATAAAGTGGCTTAGAAATGACCCTTGTTATTTTATAATTCAACTAATTTTACTTTCTTTTTGATACGTTTTTATTTGTGTTTATTATAATTGCAATTAATATGCTTTTTTGTCCATTTCTGCAGGTTATACAATAAATGAGAGAGAATTAATGTTCAGTTTGGTTATACTGAAACAGCCCATTTCTATTACGTGTTGTCTTTCCTGGATGGATTAAATTTTTGATTTGCTGTTTCCCCTTCGCTTCAGTAGACAACTTTAAAGAACGTTTCAGAAATGGCAGAAGCAGAATTAATGTGGAACAGATCCTTCATTAGTGTACATGTTACTGATTTATACTGATTTGTTCGATTTAAAAATGGTAGTTAATTACTTTTCTTGCCTGTTTCTATATAGATTATTATCCCACAAATGAGAAGTTAATTTTGGTGCTACTAAAATAACTGATGCTTTTGACGTCTTCACCTTGCAACGTTATGCAGTTAATTTTTGCCGTAACAATGGGAGGCAATGGGAAATTAATTAATTTGGATGCAACCAGAACAACAAACTATCTGCAGTAGTATTCCTCCTAGATTTGGTTAATTTGCTCATCACACTGGTAGACTTTAGAACGCCACTTTCTACAATTAATTAAGGTGAGAATACATGACTTGATCTTACTTATTAATTACTCTTTATTAATCTGTTATGATATTTCTGTTAACAATTAGCTATTGTCAACAGTATAAATTGAGGTTATTGTGCATCAATATGACTTGGCAGTTTTTATTTTCCACAGAGTAAATTGATATTTATCATTGATGTATTTATGGAGTTTATCTATCTATGGACTTTCTTTTAACCTTTTTCTGTTGCCCATGTCGTAAATTGACGTGTTATTTGACGTTAATCTATGTCGTGATCTATGGTTGTGATGTAAAATGGCGTAAAGTTGTTGTTTGTTTATTTTTTAATTCAGCTATTTTACTTGCTTTTTGGTGCGTTTTTATTTGTGTTACTTAATTATATGTGTAATTAATATATTTTTTTGTCCATTTCTGCAGGTTATACAATAAATGAGAGAGAATTAATGTTCAGTTTGATTATACTGAAACAACCCATGTCTACATGGGTGTGATCTTTCCTGGATTATATTCTTGATTTGCTGTTTCGTCTTCGCCTTGTAACATCATGCAGTTAATTTTCAACCCATGAGCGAGTGCAGCTGGATATTTATTTGAATTCCACCGAAATAAGAAAATCTTTGCTACAGTATTCTTCCTGGAGTTGGTTTACTTTTTACACCTGTAAACTTTGGAATGTTACGTTCTATAATTAATTAAGGTGAAAATACTTGATATAATTAATTTTAATTGCTCTTTATTAATCTGTTTGCCACCGTATCTGTTTCAGATCGACGTTGGAGAAGACAAAGATGACCC